CCGTTCAGCTGCCTCCTCCAAGTCTGCCCTCATGTCACTGTCTTGGTCGGACTTTCCAAGGTCAGGTGGTTCTGGGAGCTCTCCTCTGCTCTAAACCCCTCCCCCCTCCCCTGCATGCAGCCTGTGAGTTCATAACAGAAGGCCCAACTTGAGAGACACAGACTGTCCCGTAAAGCGCCACTTCCCAAAGGCCCTGAAGACCTAGAGTTTCAAAGAAAAAAAACAGGAGAGGGGAGCCTAGACTTGCATAGGGAATATCCAGTTAACTGTGTTCATCTCGTGTCAATACACATTGAAATGATTTGCAATTAAGAAAAGTACCAAACAAACGATGTACCTTGTGAGAGGGGATGGAGGGGCGGGGAGAAACTGGATGGAAAACAGAGGAAGGAGGTGACATTATCCAAGAAAAAAATGTACGCATTACTCAACTTGTAATATAGTAAGCCCTCTGTACAATAACATAAAAATAGTATTTCTAAAAGAAAATTACAACATCCACATAACCACAAAAGAAGGAGCATTTCTTAGTATCCTGCCTAGATGACCAAGAAGAAAGAATTCTCAGCTCTTCCTAGCCACGTAACTTTCCCTGACTCTTGCCCCTCCCTCGTCCATATTTGCCCCACCCCACCCCCATCCTGTTAATCTAAGTAGGCCACTCTAGTTCCGTCCTCTTCCTGCAGAAGAGAACCTCACCCTTTTTTCCCCCTTCTGCTCTTGGCCATCCTAACCAACATTCTCCTCAGCCACATCCTCCCTCCTTTCTGAAAACTGTCAGGGTCCCAGAGATGGTGAAAAGATTTCTTCTGGAGGTTCAACTCAGTGGCTTTTGTCTCTCAAACCATCTCTGGTTCCAAGTCCCACATACAGGCAGACTGCTCCGCTTTGCTGAGGACCACAGTCTTCCATCAACCCTGCCTTGCCCCTTGTCTCTATCTCTGGGTAGATTCTTGGCTAGAAAATGTCCCTTGGTCCTCATCATGGCCCTGGGAAACATGCCACCTGTGCACCCAGATCACGACAGCCCACAGCTCATCCCAGAGACAGTGTAGGACAGTTCTGTGGAAGGTGGCACTCACTGTGACAGGAGACATCATAGGTAAACGGTCTAAGGACATGCCACACAGGCTGCAGCCACCAGCACCGGGCACCCCCCCCCACACACACACATGGGGAATCCCTGAGCTGCAGGCCCCCACCTTGCTGGCTTCTTACCTCACCCTGTCCCTCCCCAGAGGGCGGAGTCCAACGGACTTCAAGAAGGAGTCAGGGGTCAGCACCTTAGAACAAAGGCTGGCGCAGCGGTCCGCAGGCGCGGAGCACACAGGTGCGTTCTGATGGGGCGGACCGGGAAGGGAGGAGCGCAGAGAGGACAGGTGTGGGGTGGGGAGGGCCACAGAGCGCAGGAGGCCTGAGCGAGCCACACAGGGTCCCGGGGCTTAGGAGGAAGAGAGGAAGGAGAGGGAGGAAGGAGGGGACATGCTTCCCTTTGCAGGGCAGGCTGACCGGCTGCCAAGTCTCCCCTTGTCCTGTGTGGCTCTGTCGCCCTCCCCCAACCCGCATGACTGCCACAGGAACGTGTGCACAGAGGGCCTCTCCTGGGGAGCTCAACCCGGCATGTCCGCACATCCCCTTCCCCGATAAAGCAGAAAGGCACGTGGGTCTTCCTTCTCTCTCTGCCCACCCCCCAAACAGGAGGGCCCACCAGGAAAGGGCATCATGGCACCTTAAATGCAGAAAGGAGCAGGTGGCTACACGCTGCAGGCCTGGAAATGGTGAAAGATGAGTGGTCCAGAGGACGGGAGGGGGTGGGGAAGACGGGCAGACCATGAGGACCCCCATGGGATACTCTAGTGGTGGCTGGCGTGATGCGTGTGTCAAAGCCCATGGGCTGCAGCCCCAGGAGCTGCACTCCAGCTCTGGACTCTGGACAGCTAACGCTGTGTCTGCTGCAGCACCAGGGCCGAGCTGGCAATGCCCGTACCGGACAGGCCGGGGGAGGGGCAGGGGACACACGGAAGGTCTCTGTGCCTTATGCTCCATCTTGCTGAGAAACCTAAAACTCCTCTGAACAAATCGAGGGACATTTAAAGCTACAAGAGCAACAGGGGTCTTGGTCCTGGAGCACTGTGGGAACTGAATGGGCTCATATGAAGGAAGGACTTGGTTTGCAAGCCGTTAACTGTGGAACAGATGTTGGTATTTATCTGTATTGGCATCGGATGCATCATTTCATTTAATCTTTTTATAATATAATTTCTTTAAGATTTTAATTAGCATATGTGAGTTATGTAAGAAGGAGATCTCATTGTGACATTTCCAGATGTGTATGTAATGTACTCAGATCAAACTCACCCTCTCTCTCTCTCTCTCTTTCTCCCCCTCATCCCATTTCCCCCTTCTTAAAACAATCTTAACAGGTTTCCTTGTTCTACTTTCATAGGCTCATGAGAAGTCCTTCAATCATAGCCACCCTCGTTCATCCTCTCCCCTCTTACTAGGATGCGACTGTCTTCATTACAGCCTATTTTACTTTCCTGTCATCCTTTTTTCTTTCTTTTAGTAGATAGTGAATGAACCAAGGTGTTTTACCATGGGGATCCACACATGCATCTCTTATAACTGAGCCCATCTAGCCTCATCGATTGCTCTCTCTTTCCCTCTCTCCTCCATGCCTTTATGGTTCAACAGCTGTCAGCATGTTTCCGTATGCCCTCTTCATACACAGACACCATATATTTCAGCATTATCTGTCCTCCATCGTTCTTTTCCTCTTTTCCCTTCCTCTCATTCTTCCAGTCACACAATCACATTCATATATTTTTAGGTCTAGCTATTATTTTTTAAAGCAAAAACATGCTGTCTTTCCTCTTTGAGCTTGGCTTACTTGCTCAGCATGATGCCATCCAACACCATCTATCCTCTGCAAACCACATAATTTCATTTTGTTCTTTCTTTATGGATGACTAATATTGCATTGTATATATGTACCATATCTTCTTTGTCCACTCATCCATTGATGACACCTCTGCTGATTCTACCAATTGGCTATGTGAACAGAGCTTCAACAAGCACGGGTATGCAAGCATTCTCTCATATGTTGATTGAGATTCCTATAGATAGATGCCCCCCTCAAGGGTAAGGTAGAACTGTTTCTAGTTATATATATATATATATATATATATATATATATATATATATATACAATATACATATACATATATATATAATTGTGAAAATACCATAGAGAGGGGTTACAAAACAATTACATGAGCAAGGTAATGAGTGCATTTCTTATCAAGTATTGTTGCCTACTCCTTTGTTTCCCCTTACCATCCCTTCCCATCTCCCCCACACACACTCTCCCCTCCTTCTCCCCCTCCCCATTTCTAGTTTTTTAAGGAAGATCTGTACAGATTTCCATAGTGGTAACACTAGTTTGCATTCCTACCAACAATCTATAAGTTCCTTCTCCTTTGTCCTTCCCACCCTTCCATTTGTTGTTGTTTTCTTGATGATTATCATTCTGAATGGAGTGAAATGGAATCAATGTAGTTTTGATGTTTGCAACGTATTTCTACCTCCCTTCCCATCTGTCTTCATTCCTTTCCACTGCTCTTTAGCAAAAGCCCTTTTAATTGGAGGTTTAAAACTGGATGTAAAGCCTTTAAATGTGATTTGATTGAAATTGTGTGTCCATGCAAAAATAAATTTACATATATTAAAAGGGAAGGGGCTGCCACTAGTGGCTCACAACTGCAATACTAGCTTCTCAGAAGGTTGATATCTGAGGGTCAAGGTTCAGGACAGTCCAATCAACTAGCAAAGAGCTGCAAATGTTGCTGTGCCTCCAGTGGTAGAGCACCATCCTTGAGTGTAAAAGTTAAAGGACAGAGCCCAGGCCCAGAGTTCTAGACCCAGTACTGGCACACATGCACACACAAGTAATAATAATAATAATAAATTGAATTGAAAGAGCCAGAGGTTGGAGGCATGGCTCAGGTGGTAGAGCACCTGCTAATGAACATAAACTTCGTATAATGAGTCCCAGTCTCAGATAGGAAAATAAATAAATAAAATTTTTAAAAATAAATTGCAAGAGCCAGGTGGTGGCTCCTACCTATCATCCTAGCTACCCAGGAGGCTGAGATCTGAAGATTGTGGTTGGAAGCCAGCATGGGCAGGAAAGTCCATGAGACTCTCATCTCCAATAAACTATCAGAAAAAGCTAGAAGTGGTGCTATGGCTCAAGTGGTAGAGCACCACCTTGAGCAGAAGAAGCCCAGGGACAGTGCCCAGCCCCTAAACTCAAGCCCCAGGACTGGCAAATATAAATATAAATATAAATTTTAAAAAATTGAAAGAGCCAAGAACCAGTGGATCACACCTGGAAAATAAACCTAGCTACTTAGGAGACTGAGATCTGAGGATCAAGGTTCAAATTTAGCCTGGCCAAGCAAGTGCATGAGATTCTCATCTTCAATTAATCACCAAACACCTGGAAGTGGAACTGTGGCTCAAGTGGTAAAGCACTAGCTACCCTTGAGCACAAGGGCTCAGGGACAGCACCTAAGCGCTGAGTTCAAGCTCCACCATGGGCACACATATGCACATACACATACACACACAAAGTGCAGTTTTGCTATCCATACAATTGTACTTCACAGGCGCAGTCACTCTGCAGCCTTCAGAGGGCAGAACCTGGGGCTCCCATAACTCACAGCGTCCCTGCTGAGGGATGGGTTGTCCTGCTGAGCTCATGTCCATAAAAGAACTAGACAAGGGAGTGTTTCTAGCTAAGGAAGTCCACACCTGCAACTGTAAGAGGTTTACAGGCAAGCAAGAGAACAGATGCACAGACCAGGGTGCAGACAGCACCGCAAACCATGTGTGGCTCCCCCTAAACCCAGTTCTTTGTTTCCACAAGGCTAAGGGACAGAGTACTCCAAGGTGCTGGTCTTGCAAGCCATTAAGTACCTCTCCTGTCTTCCAGAGTGATGGGTCAGGAGAGCCTGGCCCTGGGCTGGGTGGCCGCTGCCCTCCTGGTGCTGCAGATGGCGGTGGCAGAGCGTCCCCTCTGGATGCTGGAAGGCAAGGCTGGTGTGTTCGCGGACCTGAGCGCCCAGGAGCTGAAGGCTGTGCACAGCTTCCTGAGGTCCAGGAAGGAGCTGCGGCTGCAGCCTTCCACGGTGCCAACCATGGCCAAGAACTCGGTGTTTCTCATAGAGATGCTGCTCCCCAAGAAGAAGCGCGTGCTGAAATTTCTGGATAAGGGCAAAAGGCAGCCTGCCCGGGAAGCTCGTGTGGTCATCTTCTTTGGAGACCAGGAGCACCCCAATATCACTGAGTTTGCCGTGGGACCCCTGCCAGAGCCCTGCTCCATGAGGATGCTGCCCCCTCGGCCAGGACACCAGCCGTCCTGGGAGTCCAGACCCATCACCACTGTGGAGTACGACCTCCTCTATGCCATGGTGGAGGAGGCCACCAGGCCCCTGCACCAATTCTTCCTGGACACCACAGGCTTCTCCTTCCATAAATGCAGTGACCGCTGCCTGACCTTCACCGACGTGGCCCCCCGGGGCCTGGCGTCCGGCCAGCGCCGCAGCTGGCTCATCTTTCAACGCTTTGTAGAAGGCTACTTCTTGCACCCTACAGGGCTAGAGCTCCTGGTGGATCACGGGAGCCTGAACCCCGAGCACTGGACGGTGGAGCAGCTCTGGTACAATGGGAAGTTCTACCAGAGCCCGATGGAACTGGCGCAGAAGTATGACAGTGGAGAGGTGGACAAGGTGGTCCTTGAGGACCCGGTGCCCCAGGGCCAAACAGCCGAGAGTGCAGAGGAGCTCCCCCTGTTCTCCTCCTACACACCCCGCGGGGACTTTCCCAGCCCCACCCGCACGGCTGGCCCACGCCTGGTCCAGCCGCACACGCCCCGCTACCTGCTAGAAGGCAATGCCGTCCTGTACATGGGCTGGAGCTTCGCCTTCCGCCTGCGTTCCTCTTCGGGGCTACAGATCCTGAACGTTCACTTCGGCGGGGAGCGCGTGGCCTACGAGGTGAGCGTGCAAGAGGCCGTGGCGTTGTACGGCGGCCACACACCCGCAGGCATGCAGACCAAGTACATCGACGCGGGCTGGGGCATGGGCACCGTCACCCACGAGCTGGCCCCCGGCATCGACTGTCCGGACACTGCCACCTTCCTGGACGCCTTCCACTACTACGATACTAATGACCCCGTCCGCTACCCCAGGGCCCTCTGTCTCTTTGAGATGCCCACAGGGGTGCCCCTCCGGCGGCACTTCGATTCCAACTTTAGAGGTGGCTTCACCTTCTACGCAGGCCTGACGGGCCAAGTACTGGTGCTGCGAACCACCTCCACAGTCTACAACTATGACTACATCTGGGACTTCATCTTCCACCCCAACGGGGTGATGGAGGCCAAGATGCACGCCACTGGCTATGTCCACGCCACCTTCTACACCCCCGAAGGGCTGCGCTATGGGTCTCGCCTGCACACCCACCTGCTGGGCAACATACACACCCACTTGGTGCATTACCGAGTCGACCTGGACGTGGCCGGTAAGAACAGCGGTCTGCTGGGTCAGCCATCCCACCCAAGCGATAACTTACACTCCGCAGGGGACGGCGTTAGAGCTTGGGCCACAACAGCAGGAGTGTTTGCTCAGCCTGCTCCTGCAAAACACTAAACTAAAGATTTAATGTAGCCCTAAAAAAAAATACTGGAAATAGCCAAGTGCCAGTGGCTCTATGATCCTAGCTACTCAGAAGGGCAGCCAAGTCTGTGAGACTTTTATCTCAAATTGCCTAACAAAAAGCCCAAACTGGAGGTGTGGCTCAAGTGGTAGAGCACCAGACTTGAGAAAAAAAAATCCAAGTGAAAGCACAAGGCCTTGAGTTCAAGCCCGAGTACCTGCATGCCAGTGTATGTGCGTGTGTGCACACACACAAACACACACAGTGCTGAAAGTAAATAACGCCCAATAATTTCCCAGGATACTACTATCCTTGTCTTGGGACTAAGTAGAAAGGTGTACCTGGCGTGGGATTAGGGAAATGTCACTGGCTAGCACTCTGAGGTGGCATACAGGGCCTCTGGTGTTAGAGAAGAATGGCATGGTGTAATATCCAACATCAAATCCCAAAGCAAAGCACACCCACCAGGACCCGATGATCAGCTTCCACCAGCCAGCCCCGCTCTCCCTCTGGCCCAGAACACATAGGATCTGATGCATGGAGAATGATGGGCTGCCCTTTCTGTAACACTAAAAACACAGCAAATGAGCCAGACACCAGTGGCTTGCACCTGTGATCCCAGCTGCTCAGGAGGCTGAGATCTGAGGATTCACAGGCAGACCGGGCTGAAAAGTCTGTGAAACTCTTATATCCAATTAACAAGTAAAAGTCTGAAGTGGAGGTGTGGCTCAAGTGGTAGGGCATCAGCTGTAAGTGAAAAAGCCAAGTCAGAGTATAGAGCCCTGAGTTCAAGCCCCAGTGCTGACACCAAAACACACACACACACACAAACCCATAAAACACCCACAACCCAGCCAACAGACTTGGGCCCAGCTCTTGAAAGAGCCACCAAGCATCACATTGAATCACCTCAGGTGCCCTGACACCATGAGCTGTCTTCTAGCGCCTCTGGCTTTGGTACTCTTAATGCTTCCCACGGCCAGCCCCGTGCTGCTCCCTGCACAGGCTTCTTGCTGGCAGTCGGCTGTGGTGTGTTCGAGAAGGGAGATCCCACAGAGTGGGAGGAGGTTTCGGTTCCTTCAGCTTCCAGTGTGATGTTTTTCACCCTCCTTTTCCCTGCCTGCCTGCCTCCAGGCACCAAGAACAGCTTCCAGACGCTACAAATGAAGCTGGAAAATATCACCAACCCCTGGAGCCCGAGACAGCAGCTGGTGCAGCCGTTCCTCAAGCAGAAGCGGCACCTCCACGAGCGCCAGGCCGCCTTCCACTACGATCAGGCTCTGCCCAAGTACCTACTCTTCACCAGCCCCCAGAAGAACCCCTGGGGCCACACACGCAGCTACCGCCTGCAGATCCACTCCATGGCGGAGCAGGTGCTGCCTCTGGGCTGGCGGGAAGAACAGGCCATCACCTGGGCCAGGTGAGGAGAACGGAGGAGGCTGGACAGGGCGGGGCATCCCCGGTGTCTATGTCTGTCTGTCCTTCTGTCCACCGGGCTCTGGCTCCACACATGTGAAGGGGATGTAGAGGCTGTTCACGGGGCTTGGGGTCCTGGGTTACCTATGGGCCTTGCAGCCTCCCGGGGGATATCCGCTCGTTCAGGGGATGCCCCCATCATCCATCTGGGACCACCCTTCCCCCAGAGCAACCCGGCTTCTCCCCGGCCCGGCAGGTACCCCCTGGCAGTGACCAAGCACCAGGATTCTGAGCAGAGCAGCAGCAGTATCTACAATCAGAACGACCCCTGGCATCCCCCTGTGGTCTTCGAGGAGTTTCTTCGGAACAATGAGAGCATTGAAAATGAGGTACTGCCTGGTCCCTGCCCCTACCCTCTTCTCCAGCAGAATTCTAACCAGCCTCCGCCTGGACCCATGCTGGTCCAGTGTGGCTGGCAGCGTGGAGGGAAGCTCAGAGCTCGCGGCAGACCTGAGCACCTCTTTAAAATGGGGCTGAGGGGAATTGCAAGGCTGAAACTCCGCCCCCCACAGTCACCGCCCCGCCCACTCACGCCAGCCTCCTCCCACAGGATTTGGTGGCCTGGGTGACGCTGGGCTTCCTGCACATCCCCCACTCGGAGGACATTCCCAACACAGCCACACCCGGGAACAGCGTGGGCTTCTTGCTCCGGCCTTTCAACTTCTTCCCAGAGGACCCCTCCTTAGCATCCAGAGACACTGTGATCGTGTGGCCCCGAGACAAGGGCCCCAACTTCGTCCAGCGATGGCTCTCTGAGGACAAGGACTGCCTGGCGCCTCCCAATTTCAGCTACAATGGGACCTACAAGCCTGTTTGAGGGGGGTGGGCCCCGATCCCGTCAGAAGGCCAGAGACCCTCCCCACTCCCCGCCCTGTCCCCCATCCCCGCCCACAAGGCAGACAATAAACCCTTCCACTCCCAGCCCTGCCTGCCATGCTGCTTCTGGGGGGGCCAGGGAAGGGCGTGGCCACACACACAGATGGGAGAGCATCGAATTTGGCCGCAGGCTCCATCTGTATTTAAAAGACCCTTCACTTCCTGAGTAGTGTGGTTTTGCTTCTTTGTCACCAGTGGGCCTCAGACTCCACATTCTTCCCTCTTTGAGTGTCTGCTGCTGTTGCTCTCCAGGCCCTTGGCTATAGTCACCGACCTCTCGGCCTCTGGTGATGAGGCTCTGATGTGATGAACTGAGCAGAGCTGCTGACGCTGGAGAACCAGGAAAACCCGTCGTGGAAGACCATCGAGTGCCCCCTGAAATGTCCCTGACGCCGGCGCTCTGCTGGTGGGGCCCCGAGTGCACTCACTGCCACCCATGCATGGCTCAGAAGACTAAGGCCACTTGCTGTTAACTGGGCAAGAAACTGGACCCTGCAGGGGGGAAGGGGAGGCTGTTGCCCTACACTTCTCCCAAACCCTCATCTCCCGGTGAGAAAGCTTGCATTCTACCCCTTTCAAGGTTCACCTAGCACCTTGACAGCGCTTCAGCCCTAACTGCCACGGCCACCTGGTTACCTAGTTCCGCTTACAGGAGTTCCTGGGTATACCAGATGGCGCCTGTGGGCCAGTGAGATCAGGGCCCCTCTGTTCTTCCTGTGGCCCACTGCAGCAGGAAGGGAAATCATCAAAACGCAGCCCCCACATCTGAAGAGTGGGTAAGGGACATCGCCTCTCCCCTGCCCGCCGCCATCTTGGCCTCTGCTGGTAGTGCTTGGTGACAGTTCCCGGCTTGGCTGCCTGCCTCTTGTGCTCTTCTCAACATTCTACAGGCCATTTCCTGCCTGTGTGCAGGCTCCACTCCCTGACGCAGGGGAAGACGTGTGTCCTCATCCCATCTATTCAAACTATACTAGAGGGTCTTTCTATCCAGGACATTTAGACAAGAAAAAAAACTTTAGTATCTAGATTAGGAGAAAAAAAAAAAGATGACCTGCTCTAGTGCATGGTGCATCCTAAGAAATCAAGTTCAGCAAGGTAACAGGATACAAAACCAGTATACAAAACACAATTGCTGCTGGAAGCTGGTGGTGCACGCCTGTCATCCTAGCTACTCAGGAGGCTCAGATCTGAGGACTGAGGTTTGAAGCCAGCCCCAGGGAAGGAAAGTTCATGAGAATCTTATCTCCAATGTAACACATGTGTGCATGCACACACACACACACACACACACACACACACACACACCCCTCAGGTGGAGCTGTGGCTCAAGTGGTAGTCTTGAGCACAAAAAGCCTAGGGACAGTGCTCAGGCCCTGAATTCAAGCCCTAGTACTTGCACAAAAAATCCTGACCTTGGGGCTGGGGGTTTAGCCCAGCGGAAGGGCGCCTGCCTGGTGCGCACAAAGCCCTGGGTTCGGTCTTCAGCCCTGGGAAAAAAAAAACATTCCTCACCTCAGTTATATTTCCATACTACAATAATTAGCAACACAAAAATAAAAATGTTTAATCTAATCTTCAAAAACATAAAAATAAACAAGACACTTAGGAATACATTTTTAAATGAAGTACAAACTTTATACTCTGATAATTATATGACATGGGTTAAAGAAATTAAAGGATATGTAATCTATAGAAAGACATCCACGCTCTTGATCAAAACACTCAAAGTTATCATGATAGCAATCCATCCAATCTCAATGTGTGGTATGACCTCTACCAAAGACTCGGCTGCATTGTTCATAGAAATTAATAAGCTAAAAATCCTAAGGAAATTCAAGGGACCCACAGTTGTCCAGAGGATCCTGACAAAGAACAAAGCTGAACCATCAGCATTCCTAAATTTGTTACAGAATCAAGACAGTGAGGGACCAGCCAGAGTGCAGACATAGATCAATGCAGACAGCCCTGGGGCCAGAAATAAACCTCACATTTAAAGGCAATTGATTTTTTTTGTTATAAGAGCACCAAAATAAGCCAATGGAGAAAGGACAGCCTTTTCAATCAACCAGATATCCACCTATGAAAGAATGGGGTTGAAACTCAATTTTATGTTATATATAAAATTGTCTCAAAATGGATCAAAGACCTAACTGTGCAGCTTAAACTCTTGGAATAAAATGGAAGTGTAAATCTTCATAGACTCAGGCTAGACAATGGTTTCTGAGCCATGACATCAAAAAACACAGATATAAACTAAAAATTGATACATAAATTTCATTAAAATTTAAAAACTGCTAAGTATGATAGTTCATACCTATAATCTAAGCTACTTAGAAGACTGAGATCAGGAGAACTGTGGTTCCAGGTCAGTCCAATCAAAACAACAATAAAATAAGTTCATGAGAATCCATCTCAACAACTACAACAACAAAAATCGAGGGTATGGTGGGATACACCTATAATCCTGGCTATGGCAGGAAGGGTAAAGTAGGATTGTGGTCCAGGGCAGCCCAGGCAGAAAGTAAGACCTTATCTCAAAAATAACGAGAGTACAAAGGACTGGAGGTGTGGCTCATAGGACAGAGTGCCAGCCTACCGAGTGCCCAGCCTACAGCTCAAACCCCAAACCTCAAAAATAACATAAAGCTTTCATAGTCCAAAGGGCACTGTAAAAAAACAGAGCAACTCACAGAACGGAGGAAATGATTGCAAATCATAAATCTGACCAGGTTCTTACACCTAGAACATATAAAGAACTCTTACAACTCAGTGGCAAAATAGTAGCCATCCAATTTTAAATCAACCAAGTATCTGAATAAGCATTTCTCCAAAAAAGATACATAAGTGACCCCCTCACCTCCTCCAGGGGCCATTACTTAAAAAACAAAACAAAACAAACAGCTAACAACACACATTGATAAGAATATTGGGAAAGTGCCAATGCGAAACCTTGGTGATCGATGGGAGGATAAAATGTTACAAGCACTTTGGTGAAGAGTCAGGTAAGTATTCCAACTTTAGACACAGAGTGATCATATAATTCAGGAATACTGCCTCTAACATAATTCCCAAGAAAAACTTAAAAGTGTGTCCATGCAAAAATGTTCATAGCAATAGTATTTCCAATAGTCAAAAAATGTCAGCACAAATGTCCAACAGCTGCTGAAGAAGCCAGATGTGGAATATCCATACAGTGGAGCATTATTCCGCAATGAAAATGGATAGAGTACTATACAATCCACAGCCTGGCTGAGCCTTGAAAGCATTACAGTACATCAAAGAAGGTAGATAGAAAATGCCACATCTCATAGGAGTCTACTTACAGTAAATGTCTATGGCAGGCAAACCCATAGAGACAGCACAATAAGTAGTGGTTAGGGTCTCAGAGGGCTGGGTAGGGGACTTCTCTTGAAGTTGATTTTTTTTTCATTTCATTTTCATTTCATGTAAAGAAGCTGAACAGAGGGTTACAGTTACATGAGTAAGGCAATGAGTACATTACTTGTCAATCATTGTTACCCCTTCCCTTGTTACTGTCCCACTAGCCCTTCCCTCCCCCACCTCCCACATTCCTCCCCACCCCTTGAAGTTGATTTTTTAAAATATTCTAAAGCAGATTGTGGTGATGGATATACAACTTAGTCATTAAACTTACACTTTCAGAGAAAAAACTTTGCAGTATGTGAATTATATCTCAAAAGAGCAGTTTGGTTTGTATGCATGTGGGGTGTGTGTGTGTGTGTGTGTGTGTGTGTGTGTGTGTGTGTGTGTGTTGTTTGGGGTTTAAACTCTGAGCTTTTTTTCTTTTCTTTTCTTTCTTTTTTTTTGCTCAGTGCTAGCATTCTAACACTTGAGCCACACCTTCACTTATAGCTTTTTTTTTAAGTTTATTAGAGATTGAAACAGTCTTACAGACTCTTCTGCTTGGGCTGGCTTTGAACTTCAATCCTTAGATCTCAGCTTCCTGAGTAGCTAAGACTAAAGGTATGAGCCACTGGAGCCTGGCAACAAATTCAGGTTTTTAAGTTAATAAAAACTAGGGCTGGAGGTGTGGCTCCTGTGGTAGAGCCCTGCCTGGGAAGCATAAGGCCCTAAATTCAAACCCCAGTCCTACAAGAAGGAAAAAAGCTGACTACAATGATCAAAACTAAATAACGTCTATCATCTATACCAATATCCATATTCTTTTTTCCAGCTTATATTCTTTATACAGGGGAAAACTTCATTGTTACATCTCCACAGATCTACACTCCATCCCAACAAATCTCATCCTTGACATCCATGTTCTAGTAATGACATTGTATAGTCCAGCTTATATCAAGTGTCTTAACTGAGGCTGCCATAACAAAACACCCTAGGCTGGCTGGCTCTTGACCAGCAGAACGTGGCCCTCACAGTTCCAGTGGCTAGAAGCTCAAGGCCAAGGCACCAGCAGAGTCAGCACCTGGGGACGCCAGATTCCTGGTTTCCAGACACCCCGTCTTCTGGCTGTGTCCTCACAAGGCAGGAGAGACAAGAGCTCTCCAGGCTGTCTTCTGTAGGGACGCCCTCCTGATCTAATCCTCCCTAAAGCCCCCACCTCCAGATGCTGACATTTGATGGATTGTCTCTAAATACATGATTTTAGGGGAACACGAACTTTTCTCCATCACAAGATGACCCCATCAGCAGACTCCAGGGGTGGGTGGGTCCCCCACAATTCCACACTATTTTAATTTATTGTTTCAAAGCTAAAAACTTTTCTCGCTGGATGCTGGTAGCTCACATGTAAGCCTAGCTACTCAGGAGGCTGAGATCTAAGGATAGTGGTTCAAAGCCAGCCCACACAGACAAATCTGAGAGATTCTTATCTCCAATTAACCAGGGGGGGGGGAGCCTGAAGTGGAGCTGTGGCTAAACTGACAGCCCACCAGTCTTATGCTAAAAAACTAAGAACATAAG